TTTTGTAGATCATTTGGCCTTTGGAAAACTCATCTCCAAAGGCCAAATGATCTACAAAATTGACCAGAATTAACCTACTTTTTGGGGTACGATCTACATATGCAGCTAATTCTATTGGTCAAAATTCGTGTAACCGAAAATTAGTCGTAGAAGTTTTCAATATATTCATATTTTCGAAGGTGCTTGAAAACTCGACTTATAATGACATACCAAGGTTTGCAATTTTCGAAATGATAAGCTTTCTAAAAAAAATTTTTTCAATTATTCGCCAGCGAAGATGTTTTGAAAGCACCATGTTTCTGTATTTGATTTGAGATACTCGTATCGGTATAATAATTATATTAATCATCTGAACTTAAATTCATACGTACGTGCGTACATACGTATCTGGTATCGTATCAGGTATCAATTTATTTATTATGCCGAGATCATAATCAATCGGCCGAAAAATCATTCGGCTAATTTTTGTCAGGTGTTTCAGGAATTATAATAGCTGTAAGTATATTTATTATCCGGGTGGTGTTTTTTCTAAATCAAAGAAAATTTTATATATAAAAATAAATTAACAGCCGGGTGGCGGGTCACTTTTTTTTAAAGATTTTATGTTATGAGAACTAAAAAATTAACTTTATATGGCTTAATTTATAAAATTAAAATAAAAATAAAAAGAAATCTAAATTTTAAAAAATCTTCATCCCTCGACCGGAATTTCGGGGATAATAATAACGATAAGTCGCAATTTTACAGTAAAATTCGGTAGAATTTGTAATTTTGAACACATGATATATTGTGTCAAATCAAATTTTTGGTGATTGAGAATTGTAATTCGGTCATATATTTAAATCCAATAATGCAATAATCCTGGCCGAGCTTTTATAAAGCTGGTATTTATATACATGAAATCTGCAACCATTTTATATAGAGTTTTATTTTGATTTTGGGTGTATTGATATTTATTGACTGGATTAGAAAAAAACATAACACAAACTATAATTCCAAACAAACAACCAAGATTTGTCAAACTATATTGAGAATTCTAATCATATATTATATATAAAGTTTTAATAATGATTACGTATATTAGAGGTTGGATCCTTTGAATATCCATCAGCAGATTTGAATAGATACCCATCCATTATTGTAAACATGAATATTCACAACAAATATTCACGCAAATATTCATGAATCAATTATCAATTACAAACCCTCAACTATCCATGAATTTTGTGTGACCGAATATTGAATATTTAACCGGGATCCAACCTCTAACGTATATATTATAAAATATTGAAACGGTCAATCTAACAACCAAGGAACCTTTCAGTCATAAAATCGGTTTAGCATAAGAAAAATAAAACCGGTTCCAAACTCTAAATCCGGCCAAAGTCTACCATGTTTACTTTTAAAATTTTACACTTTATTTACATTTGAAAGAAAAAGTCAGATAATTTTTTTGAATAAAAGTTTTCTTTATTTTTTATTGATTTTATTTTTATATTTTTTTTTTTTAGAAAAAAGAAAAAAATTCAGAGAAAAAAATTTGAAAAAAATTCACAGAAGAAAATAAAAGAAATTTATATATTGTACATGGTAGAAAAAAAAGTATATATATATACACACATATAAAAGTTTCGTGATTTTGTTTTTAGTTTTTTTTTAAAAAATTATTTACTCTCCCGTCTTCTCTTTTGTTTTTATATTATTTTTTTTTTTCTTTTCCCCCCTCCCACAGGGAGAATCTTGCTTTTTTTTTTTTTTTTAATAAGTTTTTTTTTTTATGAAAGAAACGAGAATTAGGTTGATTTCTTTTTTTGTGTTTTTTTTTTCTTTAAAAAAGGAAAAACTGTAAATATATACAAAAAAATATACATTTTTCTTTTCGCGAAAAAAAAATGTACTTACGGGAAAAAAGATATTAATTACAAAAAAAAAAAGGAAATTATATAAAAAATATATATAAACACGAAAATGTCCAGGTTTTTTGTTTTTCATTTGCGGCACTATTGTAACGAGTATGGAACGTGACGTGGCAGCAAATATAATCATAATATATTCTTTGCTCTCTAAGAGTTTTCGAAAGAAACCCTAATAAGGATTCCGAATTTGGCATAGAATTCGAGTAAAAAAAATATATATATATAAGCGTAGTCCGTTGTTTTTTTGACGTGACGTGTGATGTTATGTTGGATTAAAGTAAAGTAACCTCGTTTTGACGCGTTATAATAAAAGGAAATAAATTTCGGCAATTGTTCAATCTTAGGGTAAAAAAAAAAAAAATAGATGATGAACGAGCGATTTCATCTTATTGCGATGATGAAATAATACGGATTCGTTTCGTTTAATAGTCGAGGCCTTCGTTGTCGTCTTCATCGTATTCGGCATCGCTATTATCGCACGTAGAGTAATTTTCAACTGAATGCGTCATCCAATCCGCGTTTGGGTAATCGTTATCGTTATCGTTATCATTATCGTTATCATTATCGTTATCGTAAGCTCGGGTTGCGGAAATTTTTGGCGAGGAAGATGGAGAGGATATCGGTGAATAAAATTGCGGATCGTCGGCATTCATAAAATCATTGCGGGATTCGAAAATTTCATCCGAATCTTCGGTGTCGGATGACGATGCACAATCATTTCCTACAATGTTACTAGCATTCTCATTTCGAACATTCCGGCAGGAAGAGACCAGAGGTGAATTCAAATTTAACACGTGATTTGGTGTAAAGCCTTGTGAGGAAGAGGGCAAAGCATTACACGTATTATCATAATGGCGGTTTTCTGTTGTTGATGAAACAAAACTACTTCTATTTAAAGAACTGCTGTTGACATTAAATGGTGCATTGTTTATAGTGTTCATATTACTCATCGTATGACATGAGCGAATGACACGTGATGAAGAACCAGTCAAAGAGGTGACATAGTTATTTCGGTCTATATTATACGGTTGATGACGTCTTTGCCTGATATGATTTGCCCTTGATGAAAGAGCTTGTTCAATTTTTATTCGTAAAGCAAGTCGTTCGTAATGTCTTTTTATAATGACCGGTTCTTCTTGCCACATTTGTTCAATAGTTTTTGAAGGAACTGTATCCATTGAAACATTAGAACTGATAGATCTATTTTCTATTAATTCCCTACGTTTTTGAAAGTAATAGAGCGCTTGAGCATTTAATGACCTTGGAGGAGGAACAATGATCTGGTCTTTTGCAGGGAGACGTCTTTTCATGGTTTGTGTCATTACATTACCACCACCAATAATTACATTAGGGGTAGCAATGGCGGTCCTTGGTTGAAGTGGCCTTGAAGGTACATTAACATTAGAAGTGCCATTAGGTAACATTTGAACATTACCAGCTGAAGCGGACGTGGTCGTTATTTGTCTCGTATTGTCATTATTTGCAGCAGATAAATTAGATTGTAAGTAAGCACGAGGGACAAGAATAGGATGAAATCCCTCAGGAATCCAATATTGCTGCATATTTTCCCTGTCACATTTAAATCTTTGAATTCGTGTTTGAAACGAGAATGACTGAGAAACCGAATTGGAGGAAGTCATTGCATTCGGTTGCGCTTGTTCTTCGGACACGAGAACTTCATACCGGAAAGATTTTGTTGAACCCATTGGAGAATGAAAGGAAGAGTATTAGAGGAGGAGAGGAGAGAGGAAAGATGATAATGGGTTCGTAAGGGAAAGGGATTGTATGAGAATTCTCGTGTAAATATAAGATTTTATTTAATTAATTCGTTGTGTAGAGAAAATTAGAAATTTTTTTTCAAAAACTGGGAGAACAGATCATTTTATCCTCGCTGAGGATATTATGTTTTATTTAGTGGCAGTATAGTGTATATTTTTTTTTTTTGAAAAAATTTTTTCGTGGCTTTTTAATATTTGGCGGAATCATTGTTATTTTCCTATTTTCAATGGTGTGATTATTTCATTCTCTTTTTAGTTTGGGAAAAAAAAGAGTAACCTTTGTAACATTCAATTAAATTTAGAATACTCTTCAAAAATTCAAAAAAGGAAGGTGAATTTTAGATTAAACAACAATGAACCGTAACAAAAATAAACTCTGATAATGTAAGGATCGCAATAAATGTTTGGCAAGAAAAAAAAAAAAAAAAAAAATTACATGGTAATGTAATAAGGAAAGTGCATGACAAAGCAGCTAATGCAAGAAAAAAAAAAAAATCTGCACGTCTTTTATTCTGAAATTTATTTGTTGATATTTCGTAATTTGAATTGCATTAAGCAACGAAAAAAAAAACTGCAAGACTGAGTGGCATAATGTGCGTATGTATGCGGATGATATAAGACATTTTAAAAAGAAATCATTGTTTTAATTGTTTTAAAACTTGATAATACAAAATTCGGGTGGAGTATAATGTAATAATGTAATAATAGTTGTAAAATATATAGAAGAATATGCCTCGTGAAGGTAATGAAGAATTTATTGTAAGATATATTAAGAGAGCTAGGATTTAATTATTTCTAATTGCTAGAATTAAGATAATAGTTATTCAAGAGCATGCAATAAAAAATTTCGTATACAAGTTTCATAGTACTATAGCTACATTGTTAATTTCACCAGCATTAAAACAAATGGTAAGACAAGTAGCATGTAACACTATTGTCTTTGATGAACAAACTGAATGCAGATAACTGCCTAGTTGCGTGCTCATATAAACAATAGAAACCAAAAACGAAACTAGTTAAAAAGAATAATTAGCCACCGACTTCCTATTATACAATATAACTAATCTAAGTTACTACGTAACAAAATATAATATATATATATATATATATATATATAGCATATAACGATAATATCAATAATATCAAAAGTATATATGCTAATTAATTCAGTAATTGAATAGAGGTTATACGTATGTCATGGCTAAAGTAGGATATAAATAAACATTGATACCATTATAGAAATTACACGAGCAAACGCATATGAACATAGTTTTACAATATCGATAAAGCTTTACGTAAAAAAAACTCGCCACCATACCAGATGTAGTGAACAATATTATCTCAATATTCATATTGTTTCTTCAAAAAGAATATCCATTTTCTACATTTCATCATTTAAATAACGTATAATACTGCCAATCACACTTGAAATGATTACTGTCATAAATTGATTCATTGGCTCCGCATTAGCCACCTTCAAATCTGCATGCTTCTGCAGATCCACAGTTCGTAAAGCGATCAACCAATGAGTTTGTGTGTACAAATCATAATATTAAACGTTAACGCGAATAGCAAACGTTAATGTCAAGCAGATGCTGCAATATTTACAGCCACCTGTCTGTCATAAATTCACTATTAATATTGTTAAGATATATCACCCCGCCTGCTAAATCTAGTCAATAATCAATTAATATAACATATGCTACATCACACGAAACAAATCGAAATATTAATAGTATATCGCATTTAATTGAATAAACAATGGACTTTGCCATATGGTAGATTTTTCCTGTGTTTGTGTTTCAGTATCAATAGCAATTGTTTACAGGGTCTCTTTTGACCTGCTTTAGTAATTAAAAAGAGTGATTTTCATGATTTCCATGATTGCCATGATTTCCATAATTCACGTTGATTAATGTAGATAATTGGTTGGAAAAATTAAGTACTACATTGATAGATTTGGCTAATTTAAGGTTTTATATAAGTACAATTCGAGAAACGCATACATTAATACACTGTCATTTTAAGTCGAAAATCAATTCCGAATAAAACGTTTAACCGGTCTAACGATTGTTTTTCCCTTTCTCCGCAATATTACCTACAAAATATTTTGCTCGTACGTACCCCCACAGTTTAATGTTTGACATTCTGTCATATGCAATAAGGGCTATGGTTAATAATAAGGTGGCCGGATTTTGTATTGCCGGTAATTTCTAAATTAAGGTCAGATTTTCATATTCGTTCAACAAATAGTTCAATGTTACAAGTGTAACTTGATAGTCCTGTGTTTGTCGTATTTTAATTCTGTACGCATTGCCGTTGCTATTATAGAACAATACGTGATAGTATAGTTGTTGTTTCACTTTGTTCAGTATTTTGTTTGGTAATTTTCTTAAGTCGATTACTCTAGGGTATCGTTCCATTATTGTAGCGACTTCCAGTCGGTCTTTCTTTTCAAATATGGACAAATATTTGTATCCTTTCAGGATATATTCTAAGTTTAATACCCGTTTTTCAATTAGTTTTAAAGGTGCTATTTCTTTTTGTATTTGTTGTTTTAGTTTTGTCGCTCTTCGGACTTGTTTCGCAGTAATCTTTTCCCTATCTTTCATTAAGTCTTCAAGTTCTAATTCGGTCATTTCTGTTAATTCTTCTTTGTCATGATCTGAGTCTATTTCTTCCAGTAGGTTTGGATATATTTTCCTTTGGCTTGTTGTTGCCTTTATTTCCTTTGTGAATTTCATTCTGTTTATCATGTGTAGTACTGGATATTCTCTGATTTGTCGGAATATATAATGTAGATTGTGCTGGATCATGGGTATTAATAGTAATTGTTGTTCTCCAATTTGATCGAAAGAATATAGTTGCCAGGGTCCTAGTGTTTCTGGTTCAGTGTTCTTTGGTTCTTCTTTTTCTAGTTTAAATATAAACAATCCTAGTGTTATTAGGTATTTTGCCTGTTCAGGTGGACATCCCGTGGCTATCCATTCTTGATCTGAATAATGTGAGTTTTCTTGGATTTTAATCAGCTTTTCATTCTTTACTACTATTTGTGCTTCTTCAAATATTTCTCTATGAGCTGTTGCTTCTATGGTTTCTACCGGTATTCCATAATCATTAAGTTTTCCTTTTCCTCCCATTCCATTTAGTGTTCCAAAAAATGATTTGTTCGGGTTTATCCTTTGTGCTAATAGAATATAATCTACATTTTCTATTGTAGTAAACGGTATTGCTTGGGTCATTACTCTTCTAGGTAAGTTCAGAGGGTCGTGTAAAACTAATGGTCTGTCCAGGTATGCCATTATCTCTGGATTTATTTGTGATGTATCCAAGTTGTTCATACATTCTTGTACTTGGTCCTTTTGGTTCCAAAGTTCCTCGGACATGTTGTAGTTTAGGTTCAGATTCTTTCCAAATTGGTTTCCAATGTTTTGCATGATGTTCATATAATTCTTTCCAGGTACTTTTTGCTGTTATTTCGTATTTCCAATACCTATCTCTTATGTCGATTCCTGTTCTTTTATGATATATTCTTTCTAGATGGTTATTATAATATTTTTGTCTTGCTTCTCTTTCCCAGTCTTCTATTTTCTTTCCTACGTATGGTTCGTCTTCTTTTTTGTACTTTGAGTTTACTGCTTTTTCCAATTCAAGTATTTCACTTATTATCCAATAGTAGTCAGGGTTTTTATAACAGTTGTATATGTTTAACGGTTCTTTGTCTAGTACTGTGCTTCTTAGAACTACTTCTTCTAATTCTTGTTCTAGATCTTGTTTTAATATATTTGTTAATTCTTTTGACTGTTGAATTGTTAGCTTCTTTTTTGGTCCAATTATTACTTCGTCAGGTTTATAATTTATACAGTAGTATTCTTCAAATAGTAATTCAGGGTTTGGAAATTTCCAGTGAGTCATTCCAAAACTGTTTGTGATATTCTCTAAATTCTTCGTAGTTCTCTATTTCGTGTTCCTTTTCTCCTATGCTTCGATTTGTTACTGCCCAATATAGTGTTATAATAAATGTCTGTAAGTTTGATTGTAATCCTTTTCTTATCCAATCCAATCTTTCGTCTTCGTTATTTACAAAAGTGTATTCTTTTGAATTTGGGTTATGATTCAAATAATCTGTTGTATAATGTATTATTTCTCTGGATTTGTCAATTATATAAAATATGTGTTCAGTTCCTTCTTCTGCTTGGAAGATAGAATATAAGTTATTTTGTATTTCTTTTTCGTGGTCAAAGAATTCGTTTTTAAAATCTTGGTGAAGTTGTTCGTAGGTTAAGATTGATTCTTCAATGGTAAAGTCTTTCTTGTTTTTCGGGTAACTAAATCCTTTTAGTCTATAGTATATATCAAAGTATTTTCCTATGTCAATTCTTTTCCACTTGCTCATTCGTTTGTTTCTTATATTTCCTATATCCTTTCTTTTCTTGTATTTCTTCTATTTCTTCTTCTGTTTTCAGGTTATTTATTTCGTCGATTAATTCTTTTGTTCTTTCTTCAATTAGCTTTTTTATCTGTTGATCTTTAATATGTTTTCTTGCTCCTTTCTTGCTTAATTCTGCAAGTATTTCTTCGTCTTCATGGATTATTATATTTGATCCTTCTTCAAAGTATATATTCTGTAAGGCTTGAATAATATTATGAGAGATTGATGATAGTTTTCCTGGTAATAATGGTATATGTTCGTTTGTTGGTATCCTTTCAAATATGTTGTCGTTTATTGATCCTAATTGTGCTTGGAGTATATTTAATTTCCTGATATATAAATTTTGTGTTTTTCTTGAGTTATGGTTGAATATTGTTCCTGTTGGTGTTTCTATTGATGGTGCTAGGTCTTTTATCGCCTGTAACAATATTAATATAGCTCCTATTTTATAGTTATTTGTTGGTTGTAATCTAGCTATTAATCTTGTACAGGATGTTTGTATATCCTGGATTATCTGATATATTGTTCTTTGGTCTAGGATTTCTTTTGTTGGGTCAAACCTTGATGGGTTATTTGGAAGATTCCAAATATATCTAAATTGGTTTCTTAAAATTTGGTTTCTGAAGTTTTCCTCGTTTCTTCTAACTTGTCTGTTCATTTAATTTTAATATTTCTTCTCTTAATTCTAAGGTATTTTCCCTTAGTTCAAGTATTTCGATTTCTTTAAGCTGTTCCCTTAGAATTATAGTTGTTCTATTTATTTCTTCAAGTATCGTGAGTAAGTTTTCCCTTTTGTCCGTATTATGTGGTTTCAGTTGTGAGCAAGAATATGAGTCTCGTATTTTTATTATCTGGGTTTTTAGTTCTTCGTTTGTTAAGTCTATAAATATATCTTGGTCAATTAAATCTTGTAGTTTTTCCTGGTATTGTTTGATTATTTGGTTTGCTTGTTCCCTATTATTTTGACTATTCTCTGAGGTCATTGAATTCTATTTTAAAAAGGTTTTCCTGTTGTCCAATCTGTCTGTAGTTAATTATAGCATTGGTTATTTTGTTTATTATATAACAAACTCCTATTACTATTACAATATCTCTTAGTAGTAATATAAAATGTAATGAAGCTCTGTCGTATGCTATTGCTGTTATGGTTAAGTGGTTCATCCACAAAAAGGTCGTGTTGATTAATGGCAGTGATAAATCTACTAATTGTTCCAGTGTTAAATTTGTTGTATTAAATTGTTAATAGATTCTAATATTTCCGATTCAATGAACTTGGTTGTGATTAATAGTTCAATTTGTTCTTCAAATAATTCTTGGTTTGTTGATAAGGATATTAGTTTTGTTCTGTAATAGAATCGTTGTTGGGTTGCTTTGATGTCCGTTTGTTCTGATAATATCAAGTTTTTGTATTCTTCTAAGGTATCTTTTATTTTGATTTTCCAATATTGTTTTGTTCTAGGCATTCACTTTCTGTTAGTCTGATTATTCTTTGATTGATTAGATCGTGAACGTATTCAGGTGTTACTCTTCCGTTTTTTAATTGGAATATTTCTCCTAAGGTTGTATATACTAAATTATAATTGTTTATCTTTGCTCTTTTTGCTGCGTTCAATAATAGTTGGTGTTGTATATCGATATAGGTTATAGAGTTTCTTGTTAAGCTTCCTATTAACGGTTGGTTTCCTTGTAGGTCGTTATCTCTTTGTATTCTAGTCTGGTATACTTCTTGTAGTGCTCCTCGTAAGAATATTAATACTAGTTTTAGGTATGTTATTCGTTCCTGAGTGTTAATTTCGTTGGATTTGTTTGATATGGTCATTCAATTGTTTGTTGATCGTTTCTTTCAGTATCCAATTAAATCTTTTGTTGTTGTTAGATTTTCTCAAAGGTCCTCTTCGTTTATATAGTTTGGTATTTTCACACTTTAGGTTTAAATTGTTGCAGTTTTTGCAAGTTTGATCGAGTTCGTAAGTACACCTTGTTTTCGATATTCTACAGTTGTCACAGGATCTGGTATTTCTTTGGGAATTTCTTGTATATTTGGTTTTTCTTATATTTGTATTGTTCGTATGCATTTGCATGGTCTTGGTCAGGTCTGATTGTTGGTCTTTTTATATTTTCTGTTCAATTATTGTTTTCAAATTTGTTCTTTATTGTTCTGGGTTTGGCGTATTGCCAAGATAAATATTTGTGATAAGGTATGATAAGGTATAATGTAAAGAAAATAATATTGTTTAAATAAATGTTTTGGGCTAGTTTTATGATAAGCTAAATATGGTCATTATTTGGTCATTTGTCTTCTGTTGATGTGCTTGTGTTAAATTTAACTGTTTTTCTGGCACTTTCTTCTAAGTGCTTAATTCTTCTTTTGAGTACGTGATTTTCATTTTTGAGGTCCGTTACTTCTGTTTCCAGGGTTTCAATTTGTAGGGTCGTTTTTAAGGTTGATTTTTCGAGTACCGAAAGTCTTTGTTTTAGGTCTTCTTTTTCTTCCTGGTTTCTTATTTGTAGGTTTAGGACTATTGATGTTAATTTCCTCAGGTCTTCAGCATTCTGGGTTATATCTTCTCGATATTGGTCTCTAGTTATTTCTTCAATATATTCATCTATTTCTTCGATGTTTTGTGGTTCATATCTAAATTCTTCATTTTCATATCCTTCCTTGTTTTCTCCGTGCCATTGTATTGTATTTTGTAATTTTTCTTTACTGGTCATTTTTTCTGGTTCTTTTTCTTTGATACATTCTTCCATTCTATACTCTCTTCTAAAGCTTTCTAGTTCTTTATGAGCTATTTCAGTTTTCGTCATTTGTTCGTTCCTTGATTCTTCATCAAGGTTGATGGTTCTTTTTTCGATTTCCGTGAGACATTCCAGGCAGTATTCGTTTCGGTAGTTTCTATTTTCTGATTGCACTTCTGATATTGGCATCAGGCATTCCTTACAAAGGTTCCATGCCTGTCTCTGCATCTGTTCCTGGTAGTCTTCTAGTTTCTTCTTCTCTTTTGTATTAAAAGTCATAGAATTTTCTATTCCTGTTGTCAGTCTTTCGTAATCGCTATCATAGTCGTCTGAGTCTTCAAATTCTACTTCAGTTGTCTCCATGTTTCCAGTCTGATAATATCTGTGGTAATTCATGATATCGTCTATTTGTTCGCTGATTATCACTTTGAAATTTGGATTGTCGTAATTTAGTTGGTCTGTTTCGTTCATATATTTGTATATTCTTCGGATCTTTGATTCATTAATAGGGTAGTGAATATTGGTTCGGTTTCTAGAGTAGATGTGGATTTTTTCCATTATTTCTATGTCATCTGTCATTTGTTCTTCAAGTAAATAAATAAGATTCGCGAATTTCTCTTCTTTATTGCAAAAGAATCTTGCTTGCCAATCCTCCATTTTTCTTCTAAGGTTTTGTTTTCCGCATAAGTAGCAAGTTGCAAGTCTCCCTTGTCCTGAAGTTTGGTAATATTTCTGTGCTCGTTCATCTCTCATGTCTAGTTCTTCGAGATATTCTCTATAGCATCCGATGCACATTACTTGCTCGGGTAGGAATACTGGTTCAGAGGTTCTGGGCGATTTGTATAGTCCTTGTATATAGTGTAAGTTTTCTGATGCTGTTGGTTTGTTGCAGTTGCAACAGTGGTGTTGGTCTCGGCTCTTTGAGTAAGAGGCCCAATCTACATGCCTTTGTCGTTCTAGTAAGATTTCTTCAGCGTTGCAGCCGCATAACAGGCTTGCATTTTCCTTTAGGACTCTATGTGTTTTACAATTTTCATTTCTGTGGTTTTCCCCACAGTATTTACAGGTAAATATTCTTCTGGATGGTCCTTGTTGGCTATTCCAATTCTGGTTGCTTGGATCGCTATACGATCTTCGCGGATTATTATTTGATTGGTCAGGTCTTCTTTTATTTGGGCAATCTCTCGATTGGTGGCCTTTGTTGTTGCATGTGAAACATTCCTGATCGGGACAATATCTATTCGTATGTCCTTTTTTATGGCAGATTCCACACGTGAATTCACGTGTACTTTGTCTTCTTAAAATTTCTTCTCGTTCTTTATTGAATTTCTCTCTAGTATGTTCATTAAATGCTTTCGCCATTATTTCAATAATTGGTGGGTTATTAAATTCTTCTCTTGAGATTTCCTGGAGTTCTTGGTCTTGTTTTGTCCTACAATTGTGTTTTTCTGGTTCCTCAACATGTTCGTCGCACCATTTGCAATAATTAGGTCCTTGTTGGGTCCAGCCGTTAGATTCGTTTGGATTCATTCTAATTTTCTTTTAATTTCGTTTCTTAAGAGTACAAGTTTCGTTTTTGTTAATTCCGTTATTTCTTTAATAATCCTTTCCCTTTCTTCGATATAGGTCGGGTATGGTTTTATTGGTTTAAAAGCCTGTTGATTTATTTCTTCCAATAATTCTTCTGTCCTTTTTGGTGTGATGATAAAAGGTCCTTCTTTTATTAATTTTTCAATTTCTTGAATTGTTATTTTATAAAAGTTTCTCAGTTCTTTTCCTGGTTTGTTATCGTAATTACAGTCGTGAGGGTTGTATCGAGAGTTGTAGCTCCAGCCTATACTGCAGTTGATACAATGGTGTAATTCGTCTTTATAGAGTTGTTTTCTAAACCAGGTTATAATATCAATTCTCTTATGGTAATTCCTAATTTTATCTGGTTCTTCAAATGTTGTTTCTTTTAAATATTTTATTATCCTTTTTTGTTCTTCCTCGAAAGTTGGTTCTTCTGATTTTTTATTTTTAACCTTCGTTAGTATTTCCTTTTTTTTTTCTTCGTTGATCGGTTCTTTGTATTCTTCAAGTTCTTTAATTATTTCGTCAATTAATATTCCAAGTTTGCTTTTACTAATTTCCGTTTTGTTCATTTAATGTTTTTAATAATATTCTTTTCCTAATATTTTGTATTCTGGATTTCAATTCTTCTTTTATAATTCTAGTATCTCTTTCTTCCAGGTATCTAACGATGTCAAAATGTGTTTGTTCAAACTTTCGTTTTAGGTCTAAGTCTGTTCTGAGTTGTTTCAGTATTATCGATTTTATCTGTTGTCTATTTTCACAGTCTTCTGGTCTTTGTTCTGCTAATGCCAGTAGTCCTAAAATAATTTGGTATCGTTCAAGGTTTTCAAGGTCTTGTTTCTTTTTTGATTTGTTAAGTTCTTTGTATAATAAACTATTTTTAATTTCTTGTCGTTCTTCAGTATAAGATATTATTTCTAATTTCCTAGTAAAGGTTATGTTGTAGTTTCTTAATTTTGGTTCTAGTTTAATCTCCAAGTGGTTTGTCTGTTCCTGACAATTGGTCATATAAATCTTGGTTATTTAATTTACTTCGCAATATTGTTAAGGTCAAGCAGGTTATTGTGTCTGGGTTATCAATCCTAGATTGTATCCAAGATTCAATTTCTTTGGGGTCAGGCTCTTCTAGGGTTATTGTTTTAGGTTCCGAATTTTTGGATTGTTCGATTCGTTTCTTAATTATTCTTTGGTTCCTTTTTAGTTCTTTAATTATGTGTTGGGTATCTACCATTTAGGGTCTGTTGTAGTTTTTCCATTATGTTTTGGATGTCCTTTGGTCAGTCGTTCGGGGTGTCTTTATATAATTATTTCTTATCAGTAGTTTATTCCAAATCTGAATTCGTATTACTTGTTAATTGTATTTCGTCAATGAGTTCTTTATTTGTGTCGCGTAAACATTCGATAAACGCATCCCATAATCTTTGTTTATTTTGGCGTCTGAAGATGTGTTCAAATAAATGATAAGGTAGATCCTTCTTATTTCGGTT